AAAAGAGATCACTTTAGTGCCAATTTGGCCGAAAATCCGACGTGGCATTTTTTATTAATTTTTTACGCCGACGTGGCTCGCCGGAGGCTGAGTCAGCGTGTACAGTCAGCATTTTTTATTTTAAATAAAATTTTCCAGCGTGTACAGTCAACATTTTTAATTTTAAATATTTTTTTCTTTTTTTTTTCTTCTTTCCATTTTCTTTTCTTTTCTTTTTTTTCTTTTCTCCCCTCGCCGGCCGATTGCCGGTGGCCGGCCGATTGCCGATGGCCGGCCGGCCACCGGCGAAGCCCGGAAAGGGCTGGGCGAGGCTTGCCCATGGCCGGCGAGGGGCGGCCTCGCCAGATCTGGGCGAGGTGACCCTCGCCGGCGACGCGGCCGAGGCCGGCCCAGGCGGGGCGCCCTCGCCGGATCCGGCGAGGGCGACCCTCACCGGCGTCGGGCGAGGGAAGCCCTCGCCCGAGTCGGGCGTGGGCGACCCTCGCCCGGCGCCGCGAGGCGACCTTCACCCGCCTAGGCGAGGGCTTCCCTCGCCCGACGCCGCCGAGGTCGCCCTCGCCGGATCCGGCGAGGCGCCCTCGCTGGGCCGGCAAGGGCGGCCTTGCTGGCCGACGGGCCGGCCTCGCTGTCGCCGGCGAGGCCGCCCCTCGCCGGATGCGCGAGCGACCCTCGCCGGCGTCGGGCGAGGGAAGCCCTCGCTGGGCGGGCGAGGGTCGCCCTCGCTGAGTCGGGCGTGGGCGACCCTCACCCAACGCCGGCGAGGGTCACCCACGCCTGACGGGCGAGGGTCGCCCTCGCCGGATCTGGCGAGGGCGACCTTCGTCAAGCGAGGGTCACCCACGCCCGACTCAGGCGAGGGCGACCCTCGCCTGACGCCAGCGAGGGTCGCCCTCGCCAGATCCGGCGAGGGCCGACCTCGCCTGTCGCCAAAGAGGGTCGCCTCGCCCAAATCTGGCGAGGCCGCCCCTCGCCAGCCATGGGCAAGCCACGCCCAGCCCTTCCCGGGCTTCGCCAGTGGCCGGCCGGCCACCGGCAATCGGCCGGCGAGGGGAGAAAAGAAAAAGGAAAGAAGAAAAAAAAAGGAAAAAAAATATTTAAAATTAAAAATACTGACTGTACACGCTGACTCAGCCTCTGGCAAGCCATGTTAGCGTCAAAAATTAATAAAAAATGCCACGTCGGATTTCCGGCCAAATTGGCACTAAAGTGATCTCTTTTCCTCCAACTTGGCATCAAAGTGATCCGAAAAAAAGTTATGACACCAAAATGATCGCCGTACACAAGTTATGGCACTTGTTGTGTACTTTTGCTATTTTTTTTTTATGAATAAGACTATTTTCCAAATCGAATCCTTAGCTAAAGGCAAGCGTTAGATCATTTTCTTCACGGCCCAATCTCCTAAATAAGCATCAACTTTAGATTGAGTCTCAATTCTAGTCCAAAATTTCACCAACTTTCACTCCGTACTTAAATCCGGCACCCGTTAACTTGCCATCCATAGTTGCCGCTAGAGATCCAACGTGACAATTCCATGTTAGCATCAAGTCCACGTCGCGTGCTAACTTGGATTGGGCATTGTTTGTCGTCCCCGACCTCACCCAACAATGCCTCATCCGGATCTTAAGATCTTTGAAGAAATATGTATAATAGTTTTTTCGATCTTAAAATCTTGGAGTAAAAGCAAAAACTATTTAGAAAGATTGGGAAAAAAAGATTGTTTGTGATATCTTATGTGATTCTGTGAAACCTCTTAATTTATATTTATAATTAAACTTCCATTTGGCAAAAGCTCTTAATATATCCATATCCTAGCTCATAGAATCCTTCTTAAACGGACAACAATCTACTCTCTCTCTCTCTCTATTTTACAATGTAATTGGTGATTAATGCCATTCTCGACCAAACTCAAGACTCCTGTTCATGTCAAATGTATTGTCAGCATGACATGAAATGAAAGGGCATCTGATCTTGGTTTTTTTCTTCTTGACAATGATCATATACTGCTGTGGCTAAGCCCTAGAAAAAAAAGAAAAAGAGAATCAAAGAACATCGCCTACAAGGAAGGGAACCTTTCCTCTTCTGTCATTATCACTGGCATCAAATTTCTACTTTTTTTTTTCCTGAGTTGAATTATTTATGATAGCGACTAAGCCTGCCTAGCTGCGAATACTGATTTTCCATTTTTATTGAAGATTCAGTGCTGTTCCCTTCTATTTTCTTCTTGTGATTGCTCTTGTTCTTGTGTGTTCAGCGCATTTCACAGAGTGCACAATTGAAATTGCACAAAAATGGACAGGGTTTCGACCAAAGCCTTGTGAAGTGCGTGGCCATGCTAGTTGGTAGGTGACCGAAAAGTTTCTCTTAGACACAGCTGGAATTTAACCTTGATAGACAGCTTGGTCCCGTATATGTTGTCATTGGAAAGATTGCCATGACCATCCTCACATTCTCTTTAAACCAGGTTGCACCCTTTCATTTTGAAATTACAGTTTTGCATTCTCATTTTCATAATTGAGACTCCGGATTTCATCGATTCACATAGCACAATTATCGAATTGGTGCTTTCTTTCCCGAAATACCCCTTCCCTTGCCACGTCCTATGCCCGACCACGTAAACCCTCTAAACCCAAATGTCCAAACTCTTAGCTCGACCACCAAGGCCGTTTCCCGTTGCCTCGGCTCCGCAAATGGGCCTGCGTGTGCGCATGTGTCCAACATTAGAGCATCACTGCGACCTCAATAATCTAAGGTCACCACAACATCCATGACCTTGATTTGAGGTCATTGAGAGCCCACAACCTCAAATCTAGGTCGCGGAAACCATGGACAGCCTCGATCCGAGGATGTTGACGACCGCGGCAATATCTATGCGATCAGAGAGAGAGAGGTACCAACTTCATTAATTAGATATGGCAGAGTCTAAAATATCAAGTAATCAAACTGAGTTAGAGGAGGTGGTAGCACAAGTCACATTCACCAAAGCTATTGGCGATGCGAAGGGGTTACCAACTCCGTTAATTAGATATGGTAGTATCTGAAATAACAAGTGAGCAAATTGAGTTAAAGGAGGTGGTAGTACAAGTCACATTCACCAGAGCTATTGGCAATGCGAAGGGGGTTATTTAGGTCACATTTTTGTGTCTACACATAAATATAGGTGTCTAAATGTGGTAGATAATTAGGGTACTTTTTTATGATATATACACCTGCAAATAAATAAAACTAAGACTCCATTTATTTCGCGAAAAATATGACATTTCTGAAAAATGTTCTCCAGGAAAATAACAACATTTTTCGGTATTCGACTAAAACCTGAAAATAAACTAGAAAATATTTTCATCCATTTGATAAGAAAAATATGATTTGATTTTTCTGGGAAAAATTACCAAAAAATCCAAATTTTTATTCTTTTATTTTTCCTTCTTCCTCGACCGGTGGCTAGCCACGGCGACAGCCGGCAACCGACCACAGGTGAGAGACAAGCTCAACCAAGGCCGACGAGGTCAAGCTCGCCGACCTCTGGCAAGGCCCCGAGCTCGCCGGAATCTGGCGATCTTGTCTCTCTCCTATGGCCGATCACCGGCCATTGTCATGGCCGGCCACCAGCCAAGGAAGAAGAAAAAATAAAAAAAAATAAGAAAAAGAAAAAAACGATTAAAAATTCTATTAAAAAAATTTATAAGAACAAATGTTTCATTAACATAGAACCCAAGCTTAAACGCCGAGGATCCGTGCTCAACTTTTGTGAACCCGGGCCTGAGTGCCGAGGAAGAGAGCTTGAGCATCAAGGACCCAAGCACAGCATTTATGGGCCCAGGCTCGGGTGCTAAGATATCAGGCACAAGCAACAAAGCTTCGGGCCTAACCTAGATGGACCTGGGCGTGGGTGTCAGGGCATCGAGCCCAAGCACCAGGTGGTAAGGTGTGGTTCATACTCCCTATCAATAGGAAAGCACAAGAGTCCCTCTCTCCAGTGAGTGAGCGAGGGTCGTATGGGACAACACCCCCACAACACCAGAGGGCTTATATATTATATGTCTGTATTATATTGGTAATTTGAGCTTGGGCTTATGAATAGCTACTGAGTATATATAATTTATTTCTCTTGTAATTGAGGGTTGCAACAAAGAGGTATGAGTTGCTAATTATAATGAAATCCTCTACTGGACGTAGCCTTAGTTTAAGGGCAAACCAAAATAAAATCTTGTGTCTCTATTTCTCCTTCTTGCCTTTACTCTCTACTTCGTTGTGTTTGTACGCCTAATCCTAAAACCAAGATCCCAGGCTCAGCCTCAATGGACCCAAGCTCAGGCTTCGGAGACCTTGTCCTAAACGCTAGGAACCCGGGAACCAGAGTTGGGATTTTCATACCTAAGCACAAAGTTTCGTGTCCAAGCATCGATATCTAATCATATTTTGAAAAATATTTTCTAGTTTTTCAAAGATTTTCCTAAATTTAAGCATAAGTTTTTTGTTGAATAGGAAAACATTTTCTGTTGACTCATTTTTCTAAACAAACCAAATGCCAAAAAATGAGGAAAATGTTTTTCGCAAAACAAAAGGAGGCCAAATCATTAAATCTTTTGTTAACAGATGCAGCATCCTCATTATTTACCCCTAAACTAAGAGGATGCTGATATATAGTAATATATCTGTGAACAACACTATAGTGAAAACCTTAAAATAAAGAGAGAATATGACTGACCCACGGAATGTGATGTAGCAAGCGTTGGCATATCTCTTTGATGGGGAAGTGTGTAGAAAAGAAATGTTGCGCGTACCTAAGGCCACTGACCCCACAACGAGTTGGGGACGAAACACAACTCCAAAAACTGCGTGAAAACCTCCTAAAACGAAGCTGAGGCGTAGATTTTCTTGTCATTCTTTTCGAACTCTGCGTTTTGTGTTCTGTGTTTGTGTTGTGGTCTCTCTCTCTCTCTCTCTCTCTCTCTCTCTCTCTCTCTCTCTCTCTCTCTCTCTCGTACCAGTATTTATTTAGACCAGACGCCTGCTTAAGAAACTCTCTCGCATAAGCAAAGTCTACCGTCGAGACAGAGATGGGGTCGATGGTTGTTTCTGTGAGGCTCTGCATTCTCAGCCTGAGCATGCTTATTCTAACCTCGTCCTACGCTCCTCACCAAGTTCATGCACTGCTTTCTGTTCAACAAGGTTCGTTCTCTCTCTCTCTCTCTCTCTCTCTCTCTCTCTCTCTCTCTCTCTCTCTCTCTCTCTCTCTCTCTCTCTGGGATGCGATGTGAACATGGGTTTGCTTGGTAACATTGTCCAGCACAAGAAGCTCATCTGCTTTCTCCCCTCAACTCGCCAAGAAAGCTCAGACTCTTCGAGCAGGTCACTGTAAGCAATCCTACCAAACCAACTGAGATGCTCGTGTTCACATATATGCAAGCTCACCTCTAACTTCCATCTTTCCATCTCGCCTTTAAATGGGAACAGATCAAAGGACGTGACGATGAAGTTTCTACGGCGGCACAAAGGCAGAAAGAAGATAGATCAGGTAATTAGTTGACTATAAATTTCCATGGATCGCATCCTGGCATATTGCTAAATTCCTTTTCGTGAAGCATGCTTCCACATTTTCTTTTCCCCTCCTATCACCTTCACCAAATCACGGCATTAGAATTACCGAATAGCACTAGAGACACAAAAGCAAATTGACAAAATACGTTCGATGTTGTAACAAGACTATTCGGATCATCAAATGAGGCTCACTCATGACTATTCCCATTAACAATTTAGCACGTCGTTGTAGAAAGCAGCTTATCGCGTATCCAGGACTCAAGATTATTCATTTGTACGAGACGTTGAACGACCATACGATATGATTCTCGCCATCTCTCGTAATAAGTAGGATAAAGATGTGGAAATGTCAAAATACATGAAGTCGATCACACGCCAATAATTTCACTTTATATATGTATTTGGCTGGCTATAGCACTATAGATCGTCAATTCACTTTTTTTTTAAGAAGAATCATTTAAATTTTGTCTTCTATTTAAATGTCCAAGAGTTATGGTCGTGTTTCCCTTTCAAACGTGACATTGTTCGACTTTTTCCTTTAAAGAGAAATTAACCGTCACGAGGCACGTCATCCAATTTCATGTTTAGCTTGTGAATATATTTTCTCTTTCTAGTCTGAATTGATTATTTCATGATAATACGAAGCGCAAATTACATGTTCCTTTTGCTAATTTTTCGTTGATATTTCGTCGAAAACGCAAGCTGTTGTCCTTCTACTAATGACATGTATGATTATCAGAATCAGGAACAACGTGATCTAAGCAAAGCAACAATAGAAACGCCAATATGAAAAAATTTGTTGTGTTCGCATCATCGGTCCTTATCACTACGTGTCCATGATTAGGGACCACAGCTTACAACTAGATATAGATTAAGCTCCTCTCTGGCTAGAATATAGGAAGAGGAAATTCCTACTTATCTGTGAAAGTGTAGCTTAGATAGCTTTAATATAGAGTTTCGGTCGACTTGTTATGCTTGCGATCTCCCTTCACCTAGTAATTTGAATTTTTAAATTGGCGTTTCAAGATCATGCTGGAGCTTGAATCCACGTTTCGGATATTTGCATTCCATGTGTGGTTTCTTTTCAATCTCATTCCACGTTCTTCCATTTCACAGTGCAAGACTATTGCCTTGCCATTCTTAGTATCCCAATTTGCACACGTTCAATTTAGGATTATTTAGTATAGCCTGCCGCTGCGAGATCGCACAATGTAGTTCGCATGCAGTTTTGAAAATTTCTATCATATTATTAGGCTTATCTTATTAGAAAGAGGTCTTCAAAACCTAGCATATGAAGTAGCCCGAACGAGCATTTGGTAGACGATGCCGTTTGTGTCAACGTTGACCGTATGAGTTCCTGATCATCGTTATAAACAGGCACATGTGCATACATGAGCAAAGGGATCGAGGTATTCCGTCTCTGTCGTGTCTCAATCTACATTACCTACTTAGGATGATGATGACGCGGGTGACCGATTTATTTAAGATGAAAACCCCTACTCAGATTACTATTCAGGAGTATGTTGTGCCCCCTGTTGTAGTATTGAACTCCTCATGCATCCGCCTAGCACGGAACAATTTAAAATACGAATAAGGCAATGACTTGGAAGATCTGCACGGGGATAGCTTGAATTAAGAACACACTTTCTGGTACGACAAGTAATAAACTAAACCTAGAACCCTAGAAAACCGTTGCTGCAATCGATGAGACCATATTGTTTATCATTCTTTCTAGCCAGGGACGGTTCCGTCCAAGGACAAGCAAGCGAGAAACAGAGGCTAAGAACATAACATGAGGAACGTGTTTCAAGCGGACCTCATCGTACCAACTCCCAACATCATCTCCATCGATATCATTAACTTAATAAGCAGGCATGGATCGACCGACAAGCTGAACAAGCCTTTTTTTTGTGGGTTTGATGTGATATGTCCCAGGTGGGGTTGGCGTCCACGGCAGCGAACCGTCGACGATGCATGGGAAGGACAAGAGAGGGACATGGAGGGAATGGGCGGAGGGGACCGACCCGACCCAATATTTTACCATGGATTATTCCAACGTCCGAAGACGACGCCCGATTCACAACAAGTCCTTGCCAGTCGGTCCGTGAGAAGCCTTTGCCCCCCTTGATTTCTCGCCCTAGGAAAAAGGGTATGTGTTTATATATATAGTCTCTCTCTTTTAGGACACTCGAAACCAAACGACCCCTCGTTCGCCCTACACAATTTTGCGAAAGAAGGAAAGCCATGTCCTTTTCTGCGAGTAGGGAAATGAGGGGAAGTGTCTTGAACATCTCTCTCGTGGCCGACATCGACGAGCAAAACCCTAAGCCTTGGACCCCCACCCCGACCACGAGCATCCCCATGGTGGCCTTTTCCTCTTCGTCTCGTGCATGGAAAAGTTTGCCACAGTTTTTAATCAATTTTAGGGGACAGATTAGGTACGGCCCAAAGCCCAGTCAAATTCAGTCAAAGTGTTCTTTTTTAGCTCATGAAATTACGAGAAGGAATCGAATTTTGTGTTCGTCGTCATCTTTCGTGCAATCCTTGCATGCCGTACGGTTTGGAACGTGTGCATGGGGGACTTCCGGTCCAAGAATGGTCGACACGAAGCGATGATGTTTTTGAACATTCCGATGATTTTACAGAGCCCCAGCTAGTTTTGAAGTGGGATTCAGGTTTTGAGAGTCCTTGGGACTTGCAATATATAGAATATTATGATAGTTCAATGCACGTATTTCACTTGTTGCTGGGCTCGCAGTTTAATTAACACCTATTGGCTATAAATTTTTTTCTTTCGTTAAGAAAGTAATGTTAGGAATTTGGATTTTTAGCCAAAGTTTTGTTCGTAAAGACATGCAATCGCTGATATTGTTTTGATTTTCGATGATCGATATGATTGTGTTAGTTGTTCAAAACGACCTAGCTTGCCAAAATCAACACCACTACGCACTTTGTCACGTCTTTTCGCTGAATGAGTGCCGGCAGGAAACGAAAATCTCTGAGGCTGCTAGTGTTTTATTAATTTTTCAGGAAATATTTCCAAAAAAAGTCATAAACCTATTACATTTGTACAAATTCGGTCCTAAATCTTTCAATTGTATCAATTTAATTATAAATATTTTCACGTTTTCCCAATTGAGTCATTCTGCCAATTTAAGTCGAAAATCACTAATGTAGATACTGGCAGTCCTACATGACATGACGGACATTAATTTACAATTTTTTAATAGTTTTTTTGGTATTTTCTTTTCTTTACTTCTTTTCTTTTTTTTTGGTTTGGACTCAAGGCCAGCAAGGGTTGTCAGTCGACCCTCGCCGCCCAATAGGCCAAGGCTCATGGGCCCTCGACGTGGCCTAGGCAAGGGCCATGATGCTCTTGCCATATTTGGGCCAGGCAAGGGCACCGCATTCCTTGCCGACCCTCAATCCCAAAAAAAAAAGTAAAGAAAATTACAAAAAACTTAAAAAATTATGTAAAAATTATTTTAAAAATGTCAACGTCAGCGCCAATCGTGCCACGTAGGATGCTTGGTGTTCACGTCATTAATTTCGAACCTAAATTAACCGAATAGACTCAATTGGCAAAATGTGAAAAGGTTTAGGCTCCGTTCGTTTGGCGGAAAATATTCTCCTTTTGGAAAATATTTTCCCGAAAGTCATTTTCCTGGAAAATGTTTTCCCGGAACATAATTTTCCGGTGTTTGGAGACCAATATGAAAAAGTTTCGGAAAATATTTTTCGCCAGCGACCGGTGGCGGGCGGCGGCGGTGTCCGGCGGCCGGTGACCGGCGGCGGTCGGCGATTGACGGCCAACGTCCGGCGTCCGGCGACAAACGGCCAACGTCCGGCGTCCGGCCCGTGACCCAGCTGCGGCGGCGACGGCGCGGCAGCGGTGGGCGACCGGCGGCGGCGGCGGCGGGACGGGCGGCGGCGTGGCGGGCGGCGCGGCGGCGGCGACCGGCCGACGACCTTAATGAAGAAGAAGAAGAAGAAGCTCCGGAAAATGATTTCCGCTTTTGAAGAAGCGGAAGCCATTTTCCGTAGACTTAGGCTATTTTGTGAGGGGGGAAGGAAAATATTTTCCCACGGAAAACGTTTTTCGCCCCCGAACACCGGAAAACCAGGAAAATATTTTCCGGGAGACTATTTTCCGCCAAACGAACGGAGCCTTAGAACTAAATTGACACAATTGAAAGGTTTTATGATTGAATTGGTACAAGTGCAATACATTTAGAATAATGAGTTGGTAATTTTGGTTGCGTTGTTGATTAATTGAGATTAACCAGGCAAAGTCAAGGGATAACGTCACCAGTGGTCTTTCTAAACTGTCCATCTACTTCTTTTTCATTCGAAAACATTCTTCTACTTTTTAAATGTTTAGTTCATCCTTTAAATTTTTTTTTTTTACCAGTCAAATTTTGCTAACATGGATTCATATTGCTAATATGGAAGTCGAAGGCACGTGTGATGTTATGATTCACTAAAATTTATTACGTGCCTCATCGGTCAATATAAAAACAAAAAAATAATAATTAATTGAGAGAGAGAGCCCACCAATTAAGAAGTCGTATCGCAGCACCAGCCCCAAAATAAGTAGCACCGGAGATTTCTTGATGGTGAGAGAAAAATTGATCTGTGACAAGTGTTTTCATTGCGCCCACGGTGGTCACTAGAGCTCGAATCTCGCGGCCATGAACATTTGAGCTCGAAGGTCACACCCACTATGACCGGATCTGATTTCGAAAAACTCACGGCCATGGCGGCAGAGGGTGGTCGTGAGTGAATATTTTACGAATTACATGTTTAGAAGAAGAAGATATTTCATATTGTTCACTTCACGTCATGAAAGTCCATCACCGAACTATCTCTATCAAAGGGAGAGTCAACATTTAAAAAAATTAAAAAAAAAATTACAGGTCAGAAAATATTTAAGGGCGTTAATGCCACGTTAGCAAAATCTGTCAGCTGTGTGTCCAAGTCAAAAGAGAGAGTCAACACTTAGAAAAAAGGAAAAAAATTCCAGGTCGGAAAATGACGTCGATGGCACGCCAACAAAATCCGTCATTGGATGGATCGAGGGACGATCGATGAAGCTTCTTAAAAAGAAGAGGGATGCTTTTAAACTAAAAAGAATAGATGAACAATTTGAATTTCAGGCAAAAGTAGAGAGACCACTTGTGATCAATGTACTTAATCTATTGTCTTCATTTAAATTAGTCTTCATTTTTGCCCCAACACCAACCATGAGAAAACCCTGTGGTTATGTTTGGTAGATCGTATTTGAGTCCAAATAAGATAACAAAATATCTTTTCCAATGTTTGGCAACGTATTCTAGACCGGATAAATCCAGATATACTTGGATAAAATGCCGGATAAGAAATCCGAGCTAGGGAGAGAGATAGACCCGGATTGGATAAAAAAGTTTGAAAAAAAAAACATAACAATTTCTTTCCAACGACGGAGTGATGGAGTCCGACTTCGCCATCCACCACGCAGGGATTGCCACCACAACAGCCTATCACTCCCAACCACTGTGCAATCGTCATCATCTCCTAACAACGCCGATCGTCATCACCGTCCAGCCAATTGTCCTTCAACGACTGTCAAACCAAATCAGCTGTTGCTGATAAATGATCCGAAATCAATGGATCAACCCGAAAAGTTGTTTTTGAAAAATATGAAGAAGAAAAAAACCAAAACACACAAAGTTTTGGGTGTTTGTATGTTGGTCCGAAACGGTGGTCACCTAATTTTGCCATGATGCTTTGACGTCCAATCCCGTCCTCTACTCATATATGAGACTCTTCACTTGTAATATTTGGGTATTAAAAAAAAAAAGAGGTCAAAAAGTCAAAAAGCAGAATAGTGGAAGCTTAAGCTCATTTAAGTCGAGAGCATGCTCGGCCGGGAAAAGGAGAAAGGAAAAGAAAGAAAGAGAGGAAAAGAGAAGGAAGAAGAAGAAGAAGAAGAGAAGAGGGTTTTGCGCCGCGGGACCTTGCCAAGCCTATTCGACTTTGTATCGCAACGACCGGTAAGCATTTGCACTCATCGTTCATCCAATCGGAGAAGTTTTCAGATTTAAGGTTTAAATTCGGAATTTTAGAAAATTCAAGCCGCGAAGTCCGATTTTTAAGTCGATGAGCTGCGTATATATATAGAATTGGTAGTTTAAGGTGTTGTGGAGCCGTGAAATTTTACGGATCTTGATTTGGACTTACCGTTTGTCCGAAACAAATTTTTGAAGTTTTCCGCGTGAGGTGAACTGTACACGTCCGGCAACCTTCATGCCATATTTCATCGGTTTTCGGCTTGATTTTGGGACGGCCAAGCTAGGGCTTTTGTAATACTCTGAACGGGCTTTCTTTTAACTATAAGTTTGCTAGAATCAGAGTTCGATGGAGAAAGTTATGGCACAATCAAGTTTCGCGTTCAAATTTCGCGTTACGGATAATTTTGAATACCGCTTCAGTTGTGAGTTTTGTTAACGCGTAGGAGTCTTTTCGTTAGCGTTTAAGCTTACTATAACCGTTTCGTAGTTATCGTAGTATTTTACTTAGTGTTGACGTTGATTCTCGTTTAATTGATAGGATTACGAGATCGTCGGCGAGTTTAGCCACGTTGTTTGGTTATGGGGCATTCTCAGGTGAATGGTGCTATCTCTTCTATGAAATTCTAAACTCATGTCTTGAAAGCGGAAGAGACTTGATATATAATGAGTTGTAAAAGAACATATTTGTTGCATAAAAATATAGATCGGGCATTTACTACATTTTGGTATTTGTAAATGGTTTAAGATGTGTTTTGAGAATGGTGTTGCGAAACGAGATATATATATATATTGATTTGAAATTGGTATGGGAAATGTATTATGGTTTGAGAAACGAGTTCTCGAATGATTTGAGAAATAATTTACAAAAAGGATTGCTGGTGGTTGAGTTGAGTTGTGAAATGTCATATACTTGGTTTGTGAAATGTGTTCGGTTTGACAAAGAAAGATTGTGTTTTGTTTTCTTAATCAATTGGTGATATCGATTGTGGATTATGAGATTTATTATGGATTTGGTATTATGGATTATTGGATGATGTGTGTTTTGTGCTCAATATCGTTGTGAGCCCATTGAGGGGTTTGGGGATATGCATACCGGGTTAGGATATCCTTATGGGCCGAGCCACCGGCTTTATAGGTAGAGACCTTGCCAATGGGGGAATCTTGGTAGTCTTATCACAAGGCTTTGTGTCGTGACCGTAGTTAGGTATTGAGCAATAGATTGGTCGATGGGATGGACCATCAACATGTGATGTGATACAAGATTCATCAATGGAATAGACCATTGATGT